TAGGGCCATTATCGCACCAATACTGGGGGAGTACTGTGTGTCTTTAGGGGGGTGGGAGGTTTGGGGCTTATTTGGTCCCTACCAATGTGGAAACTAATCCTGTGGCCTTGCTGATTAGCATGTTACAGCAATAAAATGAGATCCAGGTCTTTTTAAAGCATTTCAGTTGTTAATGCCATTTTTGTTGGGACATCCTTTTAGGACAAAAAATATTTTTATTGTTAGGAATGTTGTGTATATTTGCATGCGTGTCTTCTGAACAAATGCTAATCTGCCAACCTCGGCACCTAAGATTATTATACATTGTTTTGCATCGTTAATTACTACTGTTAATTACTTAGCTCACCAAGTGTTTCTGGTATGTTCTAGAAGTTTGGTGTTTCAGTACTTTACAGACAACATGCAACATACTATTTAAATACCTAAAGCAGAATTTCTGTGTTTCTGTGCTCATCTCCTTGTGTGCTTTGATTCATTGGGAAAAAAATAGCAAGTGATGACACATCAGACACATCACTAAATGAAATGCTGAAATACCGCAATTCAAAATCTCATCAGTATTGCACAGTTCTTAAAATAATAATCCCAGACAATATCATTTGTGAAGATCTGCATCCTTTCCAGACCAGAAATCTCTTATTACAGTAACTGCTTCCGGTTCATGCCCAGTCACGATTCAGTATTAATTTTACTATATTGCCCTTTGGGGGGGGGGGGGGCAGGGTGGTACCTCTCCAGGAGCAGCCTTGCAGTATGCAAAGCCAATAATAAACCACATATGAAAGGATCTGGTGTATCTGCTGGACACAAATTATGCCTAGGCTGGGGGGCAGGAAAACGGATCCCGGCTGTTTGTTGGCCCCCTTCATCCACCCCAGCACCGCACTCCTCTCCATCCTGGCTGGAAAAAGAACATTTACCGTGTTTGGGTTTGTGTTTGGGTTTATGAAGCGGTCAACGGCAGGCGAGGGAGCGGCGAGGGTTGCTGAGAATAAACAGTGTGCAGGAGAACCGGGTTCGGGGCCAGAGGTGGAAACGTGTCTCAGGTTCACAAAAAGTACTTCCCTATTCCTGAGTGTGAAACTGTCCAGGTGTCACCAAAAAAATTAAACAAACTTTCTCACCAATCTAATGTGAAGGAAATGCACGCTGAAGCTTCAATCCATTCAAATCCTGGTACTGCGGTGGAGTCCTGACTTATTCCGGCCCTTTGCTGCAAGCTGACCTAAGCATGTAACCCTGCTGAACGTCAGGAACTTGCGTTTGTTTGGACACAATTATCACCTTTGGCACAGATCACTTATATACAAAACCGAAGGGTCCTCAAGAACATCTGAGGGGAAAAAAAAAACATCCAGGAATGCTAAGGGGTGGGGGGGGGGCAATTTGTTTAACAAATTGGAGCTGCGATGAGGATTAGTTTAGAGGTGAAACTGAAATGATCAGCAAGATGCTTTCCATAAGATAATTAAGGAGATGTGAGACTGGAGATTTAGGAGACCGGACAGCACAGCAGACTCCTGGGGGGGGGCGGGGGGGTCCTCTAAGACAGAATGACAGAATCATCTTAGCATCAAATTAAATGATACCTTATGCAATAGTACAGCAATGGGTAAACCATCTGCAGTACAGATTCTTTAAAGACATTTTCCTTCCCCATAAACCAAACATATAAAGCATGCTTCTTTAAAGGCTGGTTCCTTTAAAACACGGGGCCAATAACTGGAGCCTTCCTGGTGGTGGCACGCCAGCGTCTGTGATGTTCCGTCCCGTCGCTCCCAGCATGAGGCAGCCGGGGCTGTCTTGTTTCCATTCGTGTCATACAGCTGGGGCCGTGCTGTTTCCATTCGCGTGGAATGCCTGTGCTGGTATTTCCATTACAAAGCAAGGTAACCCAAATAGGGCTCCAATCCAACTGTGGTAATTCCGAGGGGGGACATATTAGATCAGAAAGGATAACACAATGCTGGGAATGACCCATGCCCATTAAAAGAGGGCTGGAAATCTCAACTATGGTAATAGCCCTTGCGCATCGAGAGCTGCTGTGCCCAGCACAGGGGATACCACTAGATCGTCATGGTAATAAGTGCGGAGGCAAGGAGTAACCCCCCCCCTCCCCGGGAAGCTTTTTATGCCGTCCGCAGAGAGGGGCTCCAGCCCCAAGAGGGACTCTTCATAACAGAGAGCTGTCACTCGGACTTGTTTAGCTAAAGACATTCTGACCTTCATCTTCCACAGCAGTGTTTCCCCAGCCCAGTCCTCGGGGACTCGCAGACAGTCCGCAGTTTTGCCTCCCAGCTCCCAGTAAAAACACCGTTCCACAGTACGCAGAGGTGACATGGGGGCTTAGCGCTCGTTTCACCGTGGCTAATGGAGTACTCACTTCAAATGGATGAAGGCATTATTCCAGAAAAAGCAAGGGGGACATTTCATTGTTATTTTAATGCTAAATTTAACTGCTTTTCAAATTGGATAAATATCATGCTCTGGTCTTTAAAAAAATGCTAAAGTAGTATTGCATTGGTCTATTAAATAATTATTAAACAGCCAAAGACATAAAAATTAATGAAAATTATTTGTAAACACCACCAGATTACAGCTGTCACTATTACTTGATTAAACCCAGTGACTCAATTATCTAAAAAAACATCTAAATTCCTTCTTGATTACTTGGCAATAAGGTGGAAGGAAGATGGCACAGTGGGTATTGCGGTCGACACACACTGCATGGAAGGTGGCACAGTGGGTACTGCGGTCGGCACACACTGCTAGGAAGATGGCACAGTGGGTATTGCGGTCGGCACACACTGCTAGGAAGATGGCACAGTGGGTATTGCGGTCGGCACACAATGCACGCTTTGTGTGTGTGGAGTTTGAATGTTCACCGAGTCTTTCTGGCTTTTCAGTATATTTCCTACCATTGTCCAATAACTTAAATGAAGTGGAGTACCTAAATTGATCTTAAAAAGACAATGCTGCTTTCTTTGAAATGCTACTGTGGGCATTACTGTTTAGTACAGTATATTACTTGTTCTGTCCCCCTAATTACAGCACTGTGTGAATGCTCTACGACGTTACACTGTAAAAGCAGTACTGCATCCAGTATATAGGGACAAATTAAGATTAAGACCTACAGATTAAGATTAAGACCTACAGAGTACTCAATTCTCCATCTGGTCTGCAATGGTGACCTTTGCATTTCCAAAATGCTCTCAATGCCAGCCCTCTGTTATGACACATTTAAGCTAATTAGAATCTTTTAGAGCTTAATCTTTTAGCACTGTTGACAAAATCCTAAATGTGTACAAATAATTTTAAAAAGAGCAGATTAAAATGAAATGTGGGGTGGATCTTAATACCCAAAGACTCAGAACGTGCCAGACTGCTGTGCTGCTGTGCACGCGCTTTTGCCAGGTTAGACAAAAAACTGCTCCTGGATCAGAATAATATGTGAGCATTTCATGAAACTGGACAGAGCTGTTTGTTAGAGCTACTTCAAGCCAAGCCAGTAAACATCCCTCATTACTCCTGATGTGCCTTGTGAAAATTTTAATTAAATCCCCAAGGACAAACAGGTAAATGGTGGGATGTACTTTCACAACAAAACATATCAAGATTAATTACACATCTATCCATCTATATTATAAAACCTGGACGGGTTGATAACGACGTGTCAGGCAGCTCTGATAGACTTTGACGGCGTGTTTTGGCCAGGATTGGGTTTGTGCCTCTGCACATCCATCTTCCAGTCATTTATCCAGTCCAGGCTGGAGGGTGGGATTTGGAGCCGATCCCAGGCCGCACGGTACAGGGGGCTGGGGTATATCACAGCTGGGATGGCAGTTCAGCACAGGGTAAACACGTACAAACAATCACACACATTGGGGAATTTTTGGAAGCGAACTAAAGGCACATCTTTGGAGAAGGAGGCAACCTGGATAGAACCTGGGTGACATGGACACCTAGCATCACCCCGCCTGTGTCACTGCGGTCTAGTATAACGCCACATACTCCTTTATTGTAGACTCACCCACAAATCGCAATGGTAGCATTTACAGCATTCCCCCCCCCAATATCTGAAACATCCCACAGAGAAAAGCGACAGCGGGAAAGTGAGAAGAAAATAAAAAAAACTGGGAATCGGTCTGTTGCAGTGTCCTCTATTGCGAACCCACAGTCCACAGAGTGCTACACATTTGCTATACATTTGCATACATTTGCATGCAGGAATAAGGCTGAAACAAACTTAATGTCATGTCACAGTCATCCTGAATGCTTCAGCTGCCCTGCACCTGTGTTTAATTAACAGCCACATGCGTAATTAAAGTAGCACACTGTAGAATTAAAAAGAAAACAGAATAGGCACCCTGAGACACACAGGGCCGAAAGTACCTCTGGAACACTATGCCAGGGCCGGACCCTGCTCCTGAAGCTCGACCACCCTACAGGGTCAGGCCTTCCAGCAGAATCTTGGAGCAGGTGTAGCTTCTGCATAGCGAGATGCTACTGAAAAGTCTGAGCGTCTGTATCTGGTGTGCAGGGTGGTATCTCTCCAGGAGCAGCCTTGCAGTATGCAAAGCCAATAAACCACCGCTGTCCCGTCTGACACATTATTGGCTTTGGTGTTTGTGAAAACCGGAAAAAATGCAAAGGGAGCGGAACGCGTACAGTCAAACTCTGGGGGACTTCATCAATTTAATTTATTTCCATACACTGAATAGCATTTCCTTCAATTTTAAGTCCGTCCAAACTCGAACTGAAATCCCAGAACGTAGCCTAATTCACATATCATTTCTAACTTATGCGAGATGTTGATTTGGTATAAGAAACGACAGGAAAATGAAGCTGTAAATGAAAGGTGCACTGGCACCTGCTGCCTTCCGGCTGTATAGCCTCTCTCGGCTACCTGCAGACCAGGTGTGGCTCACTTTTCAGGAAGTTTTATAACTTTATAAACACATTATTATTTTTTAAATGACTGTGTATGCCAGTGTACTCACCCAAGAGAAGCAGCTTGAGCTCTCGACGCGAATCCTTCTTGTCCCGGTTCAGCTGTCTCTCGATCTCCTGGTTTATTCTCCGACATTCCCTCTGCTCCGCTGACAGGCAGCAGCATCCCGCCATCGTATAAACGTCTGATCTTAGCCTTCCGACCCCCCCGTGCAAATAATCAAAACAAGGTTTCAATAAAGAGAGAAAAATATATTAAATGGTAAATATTACCGCACTTTCGTATGATTTGCCCTCCAGATCGGATTACGTTCCACGCTCCCACAATGTTAAGTTAAATGCAAAGTTGATTATCAGTTAGTTTTTTTTTTTGTTTTGTTTTTAAATCAGAATTGTTCCTTTAAAATTAAAAACAATAAGACCACGTTCGTTTCCGTAACACCGGCCCTCTCGCCACGGCAGGCAACGGAAAGTACAGTGAGTTTTAGGGAGTCGGTGCGACCGCTTACGTGCTGGAGACCGGAGGCGGGGCGGGACGCTACCAGCACACGGAGGCTTTAGGAAGGACAGCATGGGGGACGGGGGGCGGGCTGTTTATAAGGGTTAGAGCTCAAGCTGCAAATGATTACTGCCGGTGTCATTCACTGTCTGTGGTTTTAGGACCACAATTCAAAGTATATCTGATTAAAGAACTACCACAGTCAGTAATGGAGGGGTGACATGTTAAGTTAGTTTGACATTTTGAGGCACATCTCAACTTGATTCATATTATAAAAATTATAATGAAATGTTGCATAGGGGACTAGTCCCTTGGTATTTTTGCCATTCATTTCTTTTGTACACACCTTTTGGCTCTCAGCGAGGTCTTAGCTCATTAACACCACCTGATAAATAACATTGCTTGTCTCCATCACTAAACCCAATGTGCAATACTTCCTAATCAACATAGACTCCTATGAAGGATGCCCGTACACTCACAGTCTTTACCTACAGTTTCTTTCCGCAGTGCTGAACTCCAGGGCCGCGATGAGGCAACAACAAAGGTCTTTGTAATGAGTCAGCTGGAGATAACGTTCCTGATTCATGGACAATTAGCACATGACTCCATACAAACAGACAATAAACTGTCCTTCAGCACAGTCACATTTAATATACATGAGAAAAAAAGACAAAAGTCAATGGCAAAACCAGGCTGCACAAAAGAGAGTTTGCTGAACATCTCACACCACTGGTCTTTTAGTTAAGTTATGGTAGCTGGAAATAAGACACACATCCTAGTAAAGTCTTGAGGAAAAAAGCCCCACACAAAGACAGAATAAGTATGACGATTGCCCATAAGCGTATACAAGAGTTAAGACCTTGACAACCAACAAAACAACTGGTAACTAGCCACCATTCCAGTTTAGATTCAGTTTGAGAGAGGAACCAATAGATCAGAATAAACCAATATTCAATCAGGGGCCTGAATCATGAAGCAGGATTTCTTGCTTAGCTGGACAACTTGTCGGATTTAAGGTAGTCTGGGCTAAATGAAAGTGAACAGGGCCGTAGCAGACTTTGAGGTCACTGAGGTCTGGACCTCGGTAATTTTTTTGAAAGCTAAAAATATAATATGAAGCTAAATATTCCGCTGAATAAAAAACGGCTTGATTAGGCTAACTAACGTTTCACATAACAAATTAATTAAAAAAATAAAAAACTTATGAGGGGGCAGTATCAATAATGTGACTGTTGAGGTCCACCCCCCACCCCCAGACCTCACTATTTTTCAAACCCTGGCTACAGCCCTGCAAGTGAATGAAGATTTAAACCGGGATACCTTAAATCCAACAATTCATCTGGCTAAGCAAGAAATCCTGCTTCGTGATAAAGACCCAGGTCTGTCAAGCCAGCAACAGAGTTAACGGCACCCAGGTAACTAATTATTAACAGAGTCCCTTGTTCTTAGAGTGGGGGTGTCAGGAGTATTAAGTTTCTTGTCTAAGTATCTGTGAGCCAACATGGGGGGAAGATGTCATATTAGTCAAAATGCAGTGTTTGATGATTAGCATAAATTAGCATAACCGGCCTAAAAGTTTGCATCACATATGAACTGGAGATTTTTAAAACGCAAGATTTGTGGTCCTCAATCTTCATCAAGCCTGCATACCTTGTGCAGTTTATATTATCCAATAAAAACATGGCACCGCGCCCACAGTGAGATCCATCACATGCCCATCCACACACAGGAGGTCACACAAAATGCAGAGCTTCACACGTAGCACAGGTGGTCACTTGGTGCCCAGTGTTCCAGAAATGAACTAGTGACATGGGCTTGTTTTCACACATATGGCCTCGTTGTGAATCCAATCCAGCCCAAGACATTTCAAAACAGTGCCGATTCACATTTTCTTTGTAACTAAGGACCTGTTGAGAATCTGTAATATTCTGTAATATTCCATTTGAATTCTGTAAGGTATTATACTCATAGAGGTAGTGTGTGGCTCTGGGGGTTAGAACATGTGCCAAAGATCTGAAGGTCGTTGGGTCTAATCCTGAAGCTGGCAGAGTGATGTCACTATTGTGCCCCTGAGCAAGGCCCTTTAATCCCAATTACTCCAGGGACACAGACAGGGGTGTGGCTATAGGGTTGCAGGGGCTGGGCCCACCTAAACAGATTGTCTGCTCACCCAATGGATTGCCAAGGTGGTCGACAACTGTTACTGTGATTGAGGCCACCCCCCCCCCCCCAGCATAGCCAAATGGCCGCCACAGCTGTCTGACCCTGCTCTGTAACCCCTACCTGTATGTTATACTGGACAGAAGCATCAGCCAAAGAATGTATGTTTCTTGTTGCTGTTTGTTTTTGCTAATATGACATAGAAGCACCATAGAGAAACCATCTGGGAAGGAAAAAAACTCCCATCAAAGTCTTTGTCAGTCCAATTGTTATGTGAATATTGAGATTCACTTCATTTGTAAAGGTTCCACAGGACTTCTCTCTCTGGCTGTTGTTTGTAGTCATAATGGGGGGGGGGCACTCATCAGCGTTAACAGCATCGTGCAGTGTCACGGTCAGGATTTAGTAATTTTTACTCTTTAACACAGAGGACTGCCTCATTCTCTGACTGCCAAAAGACGTTTTTATTTAGGGAATAACAAAAGAAGACTGCCGTTGTAAAGACACACTTTGCCTTCATAAACATACCAGATAAGCAAACGCAGGCCAAGGGGGGGTTCCATGAAGTAGGATTTCTCAGTTAGCTGGGATAGCTTAAGCCAGAAGTCACGATCTTCCAAAAGGAATGCTCCTTACCTCAACTTTCATTGGACGATCATGACTTCTAACTTAAGCTAACCCAGTTGACTGAGAAATCCTGCTTCATGGAACCCCCCCCCCTTGGCCTGCGTTTGCTTATCTGCTTATCAGCGACCTTCTTCGTGACTTTTTGAACAAGTACACTTCTGGCCTGTTTGTCCTGGCAGTATTAGATATTGTGAAATTACTAGTATAATTTAATTGCCTCCTAAAGGGCTATATCTGTCCTGCATTCTGCTAACTACAGGGATGTGTTCACACTGCCTGTCCTGCTCAGGGGTACAAGCTTCTGGGTGGTGGGTTTGGAGCTTATCCCAGGCAGCTGAGGGCACAAGGCTGGGGTACAGTCTGGACGGGACATATTTATCAGAAACAAAATGCAGCATCCTGAGTGTTTTCATGTTAATTTTACTGACCTCAGCTCACAGGAAAGTGCGCTGCAAAAAAGACAAAGATTCTGCAATGAAACAAGAAGTAGGAGAAAAAGCCCCCAGCCTGATAATAAGGGCATCATGGGACCCCGTGCTGCCTCTGGTGCTGCCTCTGGTACTGCCTCTGGTACTGCCTCTGGTGCTGCCTCTGGTACTGGCTGTACTTCCGCTCTAAAGGAGGTCAGTTACGCTTTCATTTTCGCCTCTGCACACATACACAGCTCACAAATCCTAACCTTCCCATCAGCTCCTGTCACTCCTGACATTTTGGATTTTTTCTCAGGATATCAGCTTGGAAAATTAAATATTTTAGAATTGAAAGTGTTTTGAATTCTAAGCTGTAAAAGTGCAGTGCAAAGGCATTTCCCTTTCAAGCAGGCCTGTTCATTGTAAGCTTCTGAAAAAGGGACTTTAAAATTGTGTCACCTCCTCGGCTCCAGAACAACAGTCTGCCATGATTTGTAATAAAATCACAATATAACACTGAAAATATACTGCATGAACAGTAGGTTTAATTGACTGTGAGCAACTCTGTGCTAATGAACTTAATTTACAGTACTCTGTTTTGGATGATGCAATGTATATAAGGCAAAGCTTATTAACTGATAAAATTTTATAAGGTGCAATGTGTTCAATATAAATCTCTCTTATACATTCAGAATATGCCACCAAAGCATGACAGCACACTGCAGTCAGAATGACTGTAATTAGACATGATGCCACTATTGCTGAGATCCACATGTAGATTTGATGCAGTGACATGAGCCAAAAAGTGGTAAAAGTGTTTATTTTGTTCTTAAGGTTTGGAAAGATGAACGAGCAACAGAATACTTATGAGAATAAAGAATATGGCACATGAAATGCCACTTTGGGGGCAAGTTCATCCCGTCCAGACATTATAAAGCAGTCAGGAACAGCCTAGCAAACTGAGGAAGAGGAGGAGGGGGAGGAGGGAGTCCAGGTGCTGCAAGTGCTGCACGACAAGCACTCTGAGGAGCCACTTTCATGTTAAACACATACAACCAGCCCTGTAATTAGTCCGGCTGTTTGTTTTTCATACAAAAATGGAATGAACAAGGTCTAGAACAGCTACTGTAATTACTGGCATACCTTTTGATACAAGATACCATTCTTTTTGTGGCTTGCTGAGAAATGAACTGGCAAAAATGTACATTCTCTCTTTTAAAAAAAAGTAAATAAAATTATGCAAAATGTATTAGTTACAAGACATACAATACAATTACATAGATACATATTTTTAATAATGCACATTCAATCTGCCAAAAAATGTGATTACAAAGCCTATAGTATATAATATATATAATATACTTAAAATATATTATATATAAATTTTAGATATATGTACAATGATTATAGCATTCATAATTGCACTATGCCTCAATAAATTGTAAGTTACAGGCTTATGTTAAGGAAATTATTACAAAAGCATTTGCTATAAATCGGGGCTGGAACAGAGCCGATCTGAGATGCAGGCTAACTTTGGTACATAGTGACGTCACTGGTCTTCACTGATATACAGCAGGTATCAGCTTCATTCATAATTCGACCAAACATGTGCATCGGCTCCTCTGTGACCGCGATTCTTCCAGAACTCTCCAGAAAGCTCTACGGCCGTGGCTATATCTGGGAGGCACCTGCATTAGCTCTGTTACGGGCCAGTCCTGACTGCAAGGAAAAATGCAACATAGACAGTGTCTTAGCAACTGACAGCTCCATTGGCCCCTTGTTGAACAGACCCTGAGTGGACATA